CCTCTCTTTTATCATATCTCTGAATCCTAACAGTCACTCTCTTCCCTTAAAAACCCTAGATCTTTTTCTTATGAATTTTGAGAGCTTTGTGAAGTACAATACCGACACGAGGGCGAGATTATCGATGTGTGGCAAGGAAGAACGGTTTGTTTGCACCTTTAGATCACTTGCTGTTCATTTTAGAAGCTTACACATGAGATTAAGGCAAAATCACCTCTGTCCAAACCTATCCCTAGATTAAAAATTATGTTTTTATGTAATATATGTGTCTAATTTCATGTTTAGGGTAATAGCTAACGTGTTAGAACTTAATTTATGATGTTCATGCCCTAAACTCATGTCAAGAACAATAGAACGAATCTAAAACTAGTATATTAATGTGATCATGATCATTAGGATTTATTTTAATGAGTTAATTATAGTTTAATGTGATTTATATGCTTTAGATTGTCAAAATAAACAAGAATTAGGTTGATTTGCATGTTAAACCCTAGATCTATGTGTTCATGTGATTCATCTTGTTATGTTAAACCCTAGATCTATGTGTTCATGTGATTCATCTTGTTTAAACAAACTCTTGGTTAAGTATACATGACAATGGAATCAGATCTATGTGTTCATGTGATTCATCTTGTTTAAACAAACTCTTGGTTAAGTATACATGACAATGGAATCAAGTTTTATTCATATAATTTGATAAAAATCTGAGTTTTTGAAGAAAACACGAGAGAAGAACAAACTGTGTATTTTCGACCTGTTCAGTCGACTGAAGTTGCCATCAGTCGACTAACGGAAGGTCATCAGTCGATTGATGGCAAGCATCAGTTGACTGACGGGATCGTGTTTGCCCTGTTGTTTTGTGAACGACCCTATCAGTCGATCGATAAGGTTGTCGGTCGACTGATCAGGTCGGTTTTTGTGAGATTGAACCTTTTGCTTGTGTGTTCGTTTGGTGAGCATTTTTTTGCAAGATGTGAGCTGATATTCACGCATAGTTCAAGAAGTACATGTACGGGGATTGAGTACACATGATTACATTATTTGGGGTATCCAAATAGATTACAATCATTAAGAGTAACGGCTATTATTATATATATTATAATTATGATCGGTTGGGTGGGGTTAGTCAGGTCCCACAATGAGATCGCGGATGGACTATACTCCGAGTGCTTTAGTCGGGTCTTGTAATGAGACCGCAGATGGACTATACTTCTTTATCGGTCCGCATGGAGATGCGCAAATGTTGATATACCTATTTATCGATCCGCATGGAGATGCGCAGAGGTTGAAATACCTATCTATCGGTTTGTACGGAGATGCGCAGAGGTTGATATACCTAACTATCGGTCTGCATGGTTATGCGATGAGTTATTATACTTAGTTACCGATCTGCATGGGAGTGTGATGAATTGACATACTTAGTTATTGGTCCGCACGAGAATGCAATGAACTGACATATCTATTTACCAATTCGCACGGGGGTGTGATGAGTTGAAGTATTCTAAAGAAGGACGATTCGATAAATAACCTAAGTGTAGGTGAATATTGACATCATCGATATGATCCATTATGAAAGTATTTCACAACTTAGATACAAGAGTGTGTCGATATCTGTTTTACCCACTAAGTATAGTATGAGGAGTTGATATGATATTTTTAGAGATGTATGATATGGTATTTCATGTATTATCTTTCTTGTATTCATTTATTCTTAGTTTTAGAGTTAATATTTAGCGATTCACAAATTGAGACATATGGTATATATATACATGAGAGCTTTCTTGTTTGGATTATTTCGCTCGACGTACCAGTCTCGTGTTGTGGGTTTCTAATTATTAATTTTCTTTAGATTGTTTATCTCTAGTTTGGTGTTAATGTTTAGGTACTAACAATTTAAGACATATGGTATATACATGAGGGTTTTTTATTTAGATTATTTCGCTCGACGTACTACGTCTCATTTTGTAGGTGTCTAAATATTGATTCCATTAGATATGTGGAAAATGATCTAGGTAGACTATGTACTTATAGGTAGAGCCTCCATCATACTTAGTAGCCCTTCTCCCGTGTGTGGATGGAGATGATCTTGCTATAGCGTTCTGACGCTCTTGTTGTTGTTCTTTTTATTTTAAACTTCTTTTTAGGCAGCGGAACAAAGTTTCGGAGAGCTACAGGTTGACGGACTTTCAGTATAGTCGATGTCATTTCATTTATTAGTTACTTTTGATCCACTGATGTTTAGTCTTATATTTAGTGGATTATTAGATTTGCATTACATTTTGAGAGTTGAGAGCCTATGTATTTTCATTTGACTTAGTATATTGAGATGTTTATCTTTTTGTATTAGATTGTTGAACAACTTTACTCAGTTGAGACTTGACCATTTACGAGACTTATCATTTACTTCCATATCTGATTTCCTATGTTCATCTCTTTTATATCTGCTTGTACCTGTACTGTTTTATTGATTCTACTAGAGAGATATTTTTGTGATGATAAAACATGACATTACACAATATGGGTGCATGACAGGTTTGACATCCTTGGATTCATCTTAGACTGTAGCTTTGTGTGAACCCAGGGGCGTCACACTCTAACTGGTTGTAAAGGATCTGTTGGTAGTCAGGTGGTAGGCCTGGAGTAATTGCTTCATGCATCGCCAAACCCGAACTGGTTGCTTACCTTGCCATCGCCTAGTGTTTTGAGTCTGATCCCGCCAACCATACCGCGGCTCCTCCTTTGAGACGATATACCACAAACTTTACTTGATTTTCTTCGGGTACATTAGCCATCTCAAAGAACTTCTTCGCTTCATAGAGTCAATCCAAGAAAGCCTCTACGTCCAGATTTCCTCCAAAGGAGGGGAGTTCCACCTTCATCCGGTACTCTTGGTTGTGGTGATGTCCGCCCTATCGATGATAGTTATGATGAGGGTTGAAGCCTCTGCCTCGACCTCTGCCATAAGGTCGCCCTCCTTCTTCTTCGCTCGAGACGTTATCGTACTATGGTCTCTCAAATTGGGTACCATAGTCTGCTCCTTCGTCACTGGATTCATCATGTGGAGGGGGATGGTTAGGATGTCGTCTATGATGTGGAGGGGGTTGATATTAAGGAGGTTGATACAGAAGTGTTTTATATGGAGGAGGCTGATGCGAAGGGGGATGATATAGAGGGGTTTGGTTTGGATGTGGTTGATATGGAGGGGGATGAACTGGAGGGGGTTGGGGATTGTATGGGGGTGGATATTGGGGTAGCCTAACTTTGAGTTCGCTTAGGTGAAGACCGTCGACGAAATTATTCCCATTGTTAAGGTGAAGGGTAAATCCTTCAATGGCTTGTTGAAGGTTCTGAAGAGACGCCTCCAACGTGCCAAATCTTCCATCCATAGAATCCATCATCGCAGAAAGATATTGTAGAGAAAGTTCCTTCTCGCTATCACCTGCCATTATCGAGGATGTTGAAGCCGAAGCTCTGATACCACTTGACACAGACGTAGAAACAAAGAGGCCGATCGGATATCATTCTGATGCCGATGAGCCCTGACAACAGCAGGTAATTCACGAGCTTGAATCCACAAGCTCTAAGTTTCTCAAAGTTGAGAACGTAAACAAGGAGAAAAATTCTCTTGATTGAATAATTAAAAAGTTAATTACTTGATTTACAAAAGTAACTATTATTTATAGCCAACTAAACCTATCCTAACTCTAATAAAAAAGTTAATTACTTGATTGACAAAAAGAACTATTATTTATAGCCAACTAAACCTATCCTAACTCTAATAAAAAAAAAGTCTGAATCTAAAAGGAAATAACCAAAAATGAACTCTTTCCTAATCTAAAAGGAAATAACAAAAAAGAACTATTTCCTAATCTAAAAGGAAATAACCAAAAAGAACTCTTTCCTAATCTAGAAGGTAATAACTAAAAAGGAACTCTTTCATAATCGGATGTTCGAGTCGACACGGGTGCTTTTCTTCTTTTCTCGTCCAATGCTTGATCTCTTGTATTAGACACTTTGGGGTTTTTATGTTTCTTTTGCAAATATTGAATAAACATAAAATGTATTTGATGTTTTGGATTTATAAAGATAAAAAGAGAGAGCTTTGTTGGGTGTATGAGTACATATAAAAGTAAGTGAGATTAAAAATAAATAAGGGTAAGACTCTGGGTTTAAAGGCAAAACCCCTTAAAGAAAAATTATGTCCTAATAAAATAGTTGTTCCCACTACTTCCTCATAAAGAAGAAAATTTGAACTCAGTTAAAAAGAAGCAAATAAATAAATAAATAAATAATCATAACCTTATATTTTCTCATATAGCTAAAAATAGGTCATTTTAGGAATAAGGATCTACACAGAATTGCCCACATGCGAATGAGCGGTTCTAAGGCATACACGCGAAGGAAAATGCAGGCGGTTTAAGGCACCCATGGGGAGGGAAAATTATGTATTTGCCTTCATGTTTTTCATATGTGCAGCTTAAAACCATCCGCTCGAATGCAGACGGTTTTAGGAGGTCCAAACTCATTCTAGTTACAACTCCAATTGGTTGGTTATATGATTATTGTGGTTCTACCAATGCACGCATGTGGGCTCATTCGACGCTCTCTTTAACTAGCATAATCAGCATAAACAATAAGAGTACAAATCCTATCAGAACATTCACTATGCCGAGAAAGTAGATAGAGGGGCGCTTTAAAGATTTAAATTGGCTATCCAATACGCCCCCGCTCACATGAAGAACGTTCTTACCGTAATTATCGTCATGCAACACACGCCAATTCACCATCCTAAAATAGAACAAACCATTCCACGTACTTAACTCTCCTCTCCCTCGCACTTACACATTGTACTCCCCTAAACTACATGGATCTTAAAAATGTCAAGCATTTAGTACCAACTCCAATCTCCCTATAAAAATGTACAACTCTCCCCTTCTACGACCAAATTCTTGAAAGTTGAAACTAGCCAAAAAAAAGTGGGGGAAAATGTTAGGCATTTCCAAAGCCATCGCCCAATCGAAATCATCAAAAGCCCACGTCTTAGTCCTCCCTTACCCTAGCCAAGGCCACATCAACCCCATGCTCCAATTCGCCAAGCGCTTAGCCTCAAAAGGCCCAAAAGCCACTCTAGTCACAACCCACTTCATCATCAAGTCAATCAAGGCCCAATCCGGCCCGGTACAAATTAAGCCCATCTCCGATGGGTTCGATCAAGTCGGCTTTACGGATGCAGTCACCCTCGACGACTACCTCGCCCAATTAGAAGACATCGGATCCAAAACCTTATCGGATCTTATAGAGGAGGAGAGCTATTCGACCCGACCGTTTACTTGCATTGTTTATGACACTTACGTCCCTTGGGGACTAGACGTGGCTAGACGGGTTGGGTTGACCGCGGTCGCGTTTTCGACCCAGTCTTGTGTGGTTAGTGCGGTTTATTATTATGTGAACCAAGGTTTGGTTCAGGTTCCACGGGTCGGATCTAGAGTTTCGGTTGCAGGTAGGGGTGGAAATGAACCAAATAATTAACAAATAGTTCGATAATTGTTCGAGTAACTATTCGATCATATTCGATTCGATAGTTCGTTTACCAGTAAACAAATATTTTTTAGTATTCGAGTTTACAAACAAATAGAATTTAACCAGATGCATATTTGATTCATTTGTCTATCAAATATTCGTTTAAAATTTGATCACTTATTATTTGTATTATTGCACATGATGTCATATTTTTAACCCACCTACTATTTCTACTTAATTTTTATTTAAGACTTAAATAGTATTAAATCTATTTTCTAATGAAAACTTTGGTTTAAATTTATATACATCACATATTATAAAGGACTAATTTTTATTTTTGAATTCAAATACTTTTTGAAAATCAAATTCCTTAGCAGAATAAGAATACTTTGATATTCAATAAGTATTCGTGAGTATTCATGAATATTTATCTAATACTAAGTATTCGAGTTCGAATTCGAAAAACTCCATATACGAATACTAGAGTCCGCATTCGAAGTCGGTAATTTTAAACAAATATAAATATAAACATTTTAGTATTCGATTCGATTCGATCGTTTACCACTCCTAGTTGCAGGTTCGGTTCCGTTAGCAATATCGGATTTTCCTTCGTTTGCCATGGATAACGGGTCATACCCGACTCTTAGCGAGTTGGCTTTGGAGCAGTTTAGGTTGGGAAAGGCAGATTGGGTCTTGTTTAATTCGTTTGATGAGTTGGAGGGCGAGGTGAGTCCATTAAATTTTTTTTTTCCTTAAACTTTTTTCCCTTAAAATTTGACAATGAAAAATAAATGTAGAAGTGGTAATATTTGGCATGTGATGTTTAGAAACGGTACGATGACTTATTAATTTTTTTTTAAATGCATGCCTTTCTAGCTGTTTCTAAAAGTTTTCATGTGTTAATGTGAGTTCAAAATAAATCTTGCGGAAAATGATAATATATAATAGAAGTATGTTAGGTAAATATATAAAGAATTCTATTTTATTTTCAGAATGTCCATGCCTACTTGTAATAACTAATAACTAATGCCTTCACCTGTAAATTATTATGAAAGTAAGTATGCTAAAAAAAAAATGACGACAATCGTTATTTTGTTCATATTAAATTCTTTTTTCTTAATAGTTGCAGCCTTGTGGTCACAATCAATTTCGAGATTAACGAGCATGTTGTTACACATTGTTTTACAAAATGTAGCCCAAGTCATGCTGTAAATATATTTGTCGTTCCAACTATTATTAATCGAGTACATCGGAACATCGTACAGGTGATAGCTTCCTTGAACAAGCACTGGCGAGCAAGAGCCATCGGCCCAACAGTCCCCCTATCCCTCGTCGACGACGATCAATCCTCGAACTACGGCATGGACCTAATCCAGTCATCCGACGACAGCGATAGATGCAAGACATGGCTCGAATCGAAACCCCCATCATCCGTCATCTACATCTCTTTCGGCAGCTTCGACACCCATTCCTATGGATCATCCGCTCGTCGGAGCAACACAAACTGCCGGAAGATTTCGTTCGCGACAGCAAACAAGGGCTGATACTCTCGTGGAGCCAGCAACTCGCGGTGCTGGCTCACGGAAGCATAGGGTGCTTCGTGACGCATTGTGGGTGGAATTCAACGCTGGAGGCGTTAAGCAGAGGAGTGCCGATGGTGGCGATGCCTCAGTGGACTGATCAGCCGACGAATGCTAAATATGTGGAGGATTTTTGGAGAGTTGGGGTGAGAGCAAGGGCGAGAGAGGGATTTATCGACGACTTTGAGATTGAGAGGTGTGTACAGGAGGTGATGGAGGGGGAGAGGAGCGGCGAGATGAGGGAGAATGCGAGGGGGTGGAAGGCGGCGGTAGAGGCTGCGGTGAGAGAGGGAGGGAGTTCGGATCAGGGGTTGGAGGAGTTTGCCGAAGGCGGCGGTAGAGGCTGCGGTGAGAGAGGGAGGGAGTTCGGATCAGGGGTTGGAGGAGTTTGCCGAGTTTTTGAATGGGGTATGTGTGGAGGGAGTGATAACCTAGCTAATTAATTAAGCGAGAGATGTTCTGAGGCATTTTGAGATGACAAACGAAATAATTTGAAGGTTTTATTGTTCTTTTCATATTATTAGGAAAATTTTGCTCGTATATGGAGTATTCTGATAGGATTTGTTTTGATCCGCGCAAGAAAAAATGCAGAGAAATATATTGAAAATGTAGGAGTATTATGTTTCTTTTTTCCATTTTATGAAATTGAGATGGGAGTTTTGCTTTGATTTTGTTAAAATTTGGCGTATTAAACGTTACGTGAGTTGAAGAAATTACCCAGTGGAATATATTTTTGGGCTTATTTTTTTGCAGCTTTTATATTGTGAAATAAAGTTATCTCATCATATTTGTTTTTCTTTGTTTTGTGTTTTAATAAAAAAAAATTGGGGAAGTTTTTATAACAATTTTACATGAGATTTAATACTAACTTGTATTGACTTCAGTTAAAAGAATGATTGTAGCACTACCTTTTCGACAGGACTCTTGTTCCCAAATGACAAAGATTGAAGTTTACTTAATCCTGAAATCTAAAATGAGATAAAAGAGCTCACCTTATCATTATTGTAATAATAGATTAAAATATTAACAAAAATGCACTACAATTGTCATTATTTAGTCAGTAAGAAAATAGAGAAACAATTTGTTCAATCTCAACAAACGAACAGATCCAATGAATCAGCTGATATGTATTCCTAATATAGCTAGTACTAATTCTACTCATGCTTACTTTCTAATCAGAGAAAATATCTTTATTAAAAGTATGATTTGCTTTTACGCAGATTAATGTTAGAGTATAACATTACAACTGCGAGCTTTCATTACAACTTCGGAGTTTTAAGCAGAGGTAGGGCCTCTTGGCATATTGCAAAAAAAAACTAGATTCAAATTTTATTGACCACGGATTTAGAAAAAAAAATTAAAAATAATATCACTGCGTGAGCTCAGATTTTGACTGTGGCCTCTAATAATAAAATATCTTTATTAAAAGTATGATTTGCTTTTACACAGATCAATGTTAGAGTATAACATTATAACTGAGAGCCTTCATTACAACTTTGGAGTTTTAAGCAGAGGTAATGACGCAGCGCGGAAGTGATAACCTCGGAATCCACCAAGTGGTGTTTTCTGAATCCACAAAGAACGATTTTCGAATCCACGAAGAAAATATTAAAAGAGAAATTTTATTGATGAAAAGTGATTCTCCTTTGGGGTTACATGACTCTTCTTAAATAGAAAAACAAATAAGACTCCTAGTAAGACTAGAATTACAAATATAGAAAATATCAAAGACTCCTAGTAAGACTAGAATTACAAAAAAAAAGTGTCAAGTTCTATCCTAAGAAGACTCCTTATAATAGAGGAAACAAATCATGAATCAAAATTGATTTTGTTTCCTAATCTAATTTGACTCTTATAATAGAGGAAACAAATCATGAATCAAAATTGATTTTGTTTCCTAATCTAATTTGACTCTAAAATTAAATTTATTTATCAAAATTGATTTTGTTTCCTAATCTAATTTGACTCTAAAATTAAATTTATTTCCTAATTTATATTTCATAATCTAAATAGACTCCAACTCAGATTAAGCGTCCTACATCAGTCTCCCCTTGTTGAAAGAAGCTCAACCCCGAGCTTATATTTGTTAGAATAGTAGCTTAATTCATTGATAAATAAATTTTTTCTCTTGCAATGATCAGCATCCGCCTTGTATTTAGTATTGATTTTCTCCATTTGTTCGTTTACCTCCTCTGCTAGGACTTCTTTTGTATCAAACTTGTGTATGAATTTTTTCCATGACAAGTGTATGTAACTGACAGCATGTGGCTCTGTAGTTTATATGAAAAACTCCTCCAAATATTTTTCTTGTTGCTTCTCATATTCTAGTGTCGACGGTATCATCTCACCATTGTTAAAATTATTGATGATTATTGCTTCAAAAAAATAATTTTCTTCCTCATATTCCATACACAATTCTTTCATTTCCTTTATTTCAAGCTCTCCACCAAGCAATGCACACATACCATCAATTGTCTCACTCTCTATTTTATCTTTCTCCTCCATCGGGACAATATCAATATGTATAACATCACTCACAATATCATGTAGAATATTCATCTTCATTAACATATCATCATTAACATCAGGAACCTCAGGATGAATCTTGATGGTGGCAAAATCCTCCTTTTCGGGGGTGAGCATCTTGTTGTTTGCCACTAGAGACACCTGTCATTGCTTGTAGTTAGAAGGTAAGAAACGATCTCTTAATAATTTCTTCATTTTTACCCACGTTCGAACCGGATCATTTCCTTGATGGTATCGATTTATCAGTACTTCATCCTACCATGCAGATGCTTTTTCTTTAAGCATGTAGACCACTAATTTAACTTTCCAATCTTCTAGGATTATATTATACTCAAAATACTTATCCACTTTATCAATCCAATCAAGAAAATCATCAGCATGAAGCTTTCCATTGAAGGATGGTATTTTTAATCCTCCAGCATCATAGTTCTCCTTTCCCCGGTAGCCTCTATGATCATCGCTGTAGAATTTATCTTGTGAAGTCAGATCACGTCGTTGGCGACCATCAACGCGATTTTGAACTCCCACCGTGTTCAGATGCTCAACTACCGTCACAAGTCGCTCCATGACAGTCTTCATCTGATTAGCATCGGCCTTTAGCACGTCGAACTCAGTTCGAGAAATAGGGGCTTCATCACCTGCCATCAGATTGGAGGAACAAGGCTTTGATACCAATTGACGCAGCGCGGAAATGATAACCTCGGAATCCACCAAGGGGTGTTCTCTGAATCTACAAAGGATCTTCGAATCCACGAAGAAAATATTAAAAAAGAAATTTTATTGATGAAAAGTTATTCTCCTTTGGGGTTACATGACTCTTCTTAAATAGAAAAACAAATAAGACTCCTAGTAAGACTAGAATTATAAAAATAGAAAGTATCAAATAAGACTCCTAGTAAGACTAGAATTACAAAAAAAAAATCAAATTCTATCCTAAAAAGACTCCTTATAATAGAGGAAACAAATCATGAATCAAAATTAATTTTGTTTCCTAATCTAATTTGACTCTAAAATTGAATTTATTTCCTAATTTATATTTCCTAATCTAAATAGACTCCAACTCAGATTAAGCGTCCTACATCAGGGAAGTCCTCTTGACATATTACAACAAAAAAACCATATTCAAATTTTATTGACCACGAATTTAGAATAAATTTTAAAAAATAATATCACCGCGAGAGCTCAAATTTTGACCGTGGCCTCCAACCAACCATACATTAGGTAATAAAATATCTTTATTAAAAGTATGATTTGCTTTTACACAGATCAATGTTAGAGTATAACATTATAACCGAGAGCCTTCATTACAACTTTGGAGTTTTAAGCAGAGATAGGTCCTCTCGGCATATTACAAAAAAACCAGATTCAAATTTTATTGACCACGGATTTAGAATAAATTTTTAAAAAATAATATCTGTGCGTGAGCTTTGACTGTGGCCATTATTTGGAAGGATCACGTCTGCTGGATTCAGCTCATCTGTTAACAATTCTAACATCAATTATCATGTCAACAGTTAACTGGACCTCACAAAATTTCAAAAAAGTGGAAAAAAAAAAAAGAAACGAGTGAATTAATTAACGAGACATTATGATTCACCTCGCAGATGTTTCTGCAAAATTTTCCTTTTTCTGCAACTTGATGAGGCTGCTCGCCAGACAAGCCCACATCCACACGAAATCAGTTATTTTGAATTTCTCTCACGCACTATATCTCAACAAGCGGTTATTAAAGGGACACGTGGCAAAAGCGCAGCCTCCAAAAACTGTCCTTTATTCACAATACCCAGAATTCATACGTGCCAGTCTTTAACCCATTTCAGACCTCACTGTGCAAAAAATCCTCTCTTTCACTCTGTTCTTCGATCTTTGGAGGCAACAATGATCAAGAGATCTCAGGTTTGTGCTCATTGGATCTTTGATTTTATTTAGATTTATTTGTTTACTTCAATATTTTGTTACTTACTTAAGTTATGTGCTAGTGAAATTTAGATGAGCTAGGAGTTTACACACACACACAAAAAAAAAATAGTGAGAAATATATCTTGATGACTTGATTCTACCCATGACACAAAAGAAATTAGTTAGGAGTTTGATGCAAAATTTTTAATTAATTTTACCATGATTGTTTGGAGTATAATCAATTTGATAGATGGCTACTGCATGATTAATTATTGCCAGCATCTGGATTTATATGATCTGGGCTAGTTGTCTCTCATTTGATATGGTAAAGAGATGTCTGAAAAGTTTGGAAAAATGACAAGCAGTTCGTCCATAGAGAAGAAAATATCCCCTCTTAATCTACAAATCTAATAAAAAAGGGTAAATTTACATCGGTCCGGGACTTTAGGCCCCATGGTTGCTGCTAAATTAGGATTGAGCAAATTTAAATATCTGACAAATAATAGTAGAATACCTGTATTCTAACTCAGCACTAGGAGGGGGATTTCAAACATATATAGTTCCCATCCAAGGCTCATTGAGTACTGAAATCTCTTTAGTTTTGGGATCTCTGAGGGAGAATCTCACCAAAAATTTTCTCAACTACGTATATCAATCAGTTAATCCTTGTAAAGGATTATCTCTGAGCGAGAATCCAAGGCTTCACGGAAAATGTATTTCCCAAGTGTAAAAAGAATGTTTTGCAGGAGATGGTCAGTGCATAAGCTTAATCTCCCTTCTAATCCTTGTGAAAGATTATTGAAATAAAACTTTAACTACGCACATATGAAGCTCACTTATAGAAAGCCCTCTTTTTTTAGGGAATATTTTGTTAAGGCATATTCGTGGTTTGCCGTTGGGTTCCTTGCATTAATTATTAGTATTTACCGAAGAAACAACTTCTCTCCATCTTGAACTCCTCATGCTACGACAGCTCATGAAATAAAGTCTCCTTGTTTGCACCAATAATGGAGATAAAGTTTTGATCTTACTTCATTTATTATCTTGTTACTAACTGTACTATATAGAAGAGGCGCTCGGCTTGATGATTTTTTATGATATGCGTGTGATCATCAGAAAAACCTATCGTTTAATGAATAGATTTGACATTGATACAATGATTGGATAAGTGTAAGTAATGATATTGTTTTTTCCATCAGTAGTGCTCTTAGAACAGATATGTTTTCTTCCATGCATAGAAAATAGAGAGAGATGGGCATCATCAAGAGTTTATGGAGAGGTAGGTATCAGCATTTTATAATCTATATTCCACCCTTGAGCCCTAATTCAAATGACAAAGTATTGAGATCGAGTCTGAGAAAGTTTTAGGTTCAAATCCAGGCTATGGACTTGCTAGTACTCATCAGCCTTACCTCTCTCTTGTGACAGTTAATAGCAACGTTTTGTTAAGATGACTGAATACTATTATCTTTCTTCTACGATTATTATTAGCTTGTTACTGCTATCTACGAGGTATATCGTGAAGCTATACCATTGAAAACTCTTTCATGCTTGTGCTTCTCTTTAATAACTAATCTCTTTGCTTATTTCGTCTTCTTTCTACTTGTGCTTTTTTCTTATTTCTTCTTCTCTCTACTTGTGATATTTTCCTATTGCTTGTTCTATTTTCATTTTGTTCTTTTTATTTTCTTTGTGTAGGCATGACATGCATGCCTATGGATTAATGTATGTTCGATTTGGTCATGTTTTTGAGAAAAATTAGAAATAACCCCAAACTTCAGAAGGGTTTTTCAATTAAAAAGTCATGACAGACATAAAACATGCCTTGGAATCTGCTGACAAGCGTTGTAAAGACGATATAGGTAAATGTTCAAGGAATGACTTACTATTGGTTACCACTCCTTTATCTGAAATGGTTTGGTCCAAACACAAAGGTTTGGGTCTTCAAGATCTTGCTTCGCGTTTAGGTGAAAAGAAAGCCTCTCAATTATGGAATACTGAATCCTTCAATATAGTAATTTCATCACCAAAACACGCTGATCATGGGGAGAGTAGCCACTCTAAAGATCTTGCTGAAGTTGGTTTAAATTTGTTGCAGTTGAAACCAAATTGTGAGGAGAAAAATGGTGCTTCAAGGAAAAATGAATCTGTGATTAGGAATGACGAACAAGAATCAAGTAAGTATTGAATAGAGAGTGCATTTTCCTGTTAGCTTTTAATTGGTGCTCTAATTAAATTGTACAATTGACATGTTCTATTTCAGCATTGTTTCAACTGAATCAAGCTTTCTGAAAGTTATACCCATTAAAATCTTCATTTTGCAGGAAATTACGGAGATTTGAACGTCTCAAACAAAAGGGAGGTTAATTTAGGTAAAGGAATTCCAAGAAATAATCAGTTAGCTGATAAAGAAGTTGAAAACACTAGCCAGTCTGTTGATACAATCCAGGTCAAGGATCTTTTTTCAGGTATTTTACTTATATACATCAAATTCTATTTTATTTCAGGTGTTACTCAAAATTTTAAAAGATAATTGTTACTTTGTAACTGTACAGGTCCAAATAAGCTAGATCAAACTGCCGAATGTTTATCGTATAACTTGAAGGAGCGCAATGGTAAATCCTCCGGCAACTTTATAAAAGAATCAGATCAAATGGAAGTCTGCGAGACCTCCAGCAGGGCAATACAACCTGCTAACCAAGGTTTCACACATGGAAATCCATTAATGGCATCATCAGGCTCAAAATTAATGAATACCGCTGAAAGGAAATGTTTTAAAATGATTGATTTTGACATCAATATTCCAGTCATACAAGAAACTACAGAAGAAGATGAAGTTGAATCTTTTCGAGCACATCACAAGGGCAAATCGACTCTTATAGAATCAAGTAAAAGTAAAGGTAAGGCACAAGTTACATCTTTTGCTGACGAAAGTGAGAGTTCAAAGGACAGTGGACATAGCCATGATAGTGCTGAAAGCAGCAGCAGCAAATGGCTTATATCAACAAGCAAGAGAGCAAGGAGCTACAAGTTAGAGACATCCGTGGAGAACAAAAGGCTAAAGAAACAAAGCTATGAAGGATGCAGCTCAGGGTCTGGAGGGAGTTCTTTCATGAATTGGGTATCGACAATAACCAATGGATTTTCTGGGTTTGCTGAAGCCAGGCCTTTGTCATTTGCACCGCCACCCTTTTCATATATAGAAGGAAACCCTAAAAATCTTTCTTTATCTCAAGGCAAAGAAATCGGTGTTACCTACAAAGATATGGGTTTTAAATCTCTCTTTCGATCCTTAGTCCCCCCTGGCTACAACATGAAAAGTAGTACCAATATGCATCAAATCACAGAACCTATGGCTGCGAAAGATCTAAATGTAGAATGCAAGAAGCTGGAGTTTAATTTGCACAGGATACTTCCTACTGATGACCGGAGATTAAATATAGTCAATAGAAATGACTCGCACAATGAAGTTTCTCTTCAAGCAGATAGGCTTAAAAAAAATCTTCAACAGGGTGAAGAATTTGGCGCAGCTAATGGCAATGTATCCCTGGGTTCTTCAGCATTGTCTACCAACAACAAAAATAAGCTTCTTCAGAACTTATGGATTACTCGGTTTTCTCCAAAAGTTTCTTCAGGTATGCAAATTTCGGTAAATGAGGAAGGTATGGATACTCGGACTTAAGATAATGCTGCAGGTAGCAAAGATCGTGACTGTCTCCTTCCTGTACAAAGCCAAATGAGTGATCTTGATGTGGAAAAGCTTAGTGTTTTTGAGAATGGGAAGCAGAAGCTCAAGTTTCGGAAAATGCTCTATTTCGCTAAAAGGAGTTGATACCCTTAGACATTCAGAACTTTAGAAAGTTGCAGGTAACATAATAATCACGGAACAGGAGCGTGTTGGCTGTAAAAACTGAGCTCTGAGGATCTCGCACACTCAAGATTCTGAACTCGACATCCATGCAATTCTGTGTTACTTGAAATGGCTCCTCCGCCAATTCATGTGATGAGAGTTTATATATAAGAAATTGTGAATCTATTGTTATTTTTTTGGTTCAAAAGTTCAGAATGCCATTGGCTTAGTTGCTATCTACAATGAAAAATTATTTATATTTGAGTATGGTCTTTGAAGAAAATACTGCCAGGTTTAATGGGAACATATTCAATTCTGTACTTGTGCTGCTGCAGAAGAAACTGACGAATCATCTGGAGTTTCTGAAGCATAGCAGGGTACAGTTATTTTTGCAGAATTATCTCAGGCACCTTCATTGCGCTAATTTATGAAGGGGTACTATAACATTGTCATTTTTTTCCTAGTATAATCTATATGCATGCTAAGCTTAACTAGAACAAGGATACGTTAAAGTTAGCGTAAATTTGACAAAACAGGCAATAAGTTACTTAACCTCGATTTTTTTTTAAGTTTTACTTAAATCCCAATAGATTTTTCAGAAAATCCCAAAACTAACACGTCAAACTGTTGGATAGCAGGTTCCTAATATATTTCCTAATTTATTTTGGTAACAGGTTATTGGGATTCCTAATCTGTTTTGGTAACATGATTCTAAATCTGTTTTGGAAACAAGTTATTAGGATTCCTAATCTGTTTTGTTTTTTGTTTTAGAATTCCTAGTATGTTTATGATTTTAGGATTTCTATATATATAGAACAATTAGAAGAGATAATTGGGAAGAAAATTGGAATATTTGGAGCACAAAAAAGAGGTATTTTCTAAGCTATTGGTTAGGGTTTTGTTTGGAGAGAATTAGAGATTTGTTGGTGAGATTAATTGGTGAGTTTGAGTGATTTGTAATCTCAGTTTGTATTCTTCTTCTCTATTAGTGAAAAACTATATCCCCTTCTTGCCCCGTGGACGTAGGCAACTTGCTGAACCACGTTAAAATTGATTATTTGTGTTTGTGGCATTGATTTGGTTCGTTTGGCCTCCTCTCGACCTTCGTTTGATTTGATTTCTCATAGCATGTTGGTTTGGTTGTTTGGCTTCCGCAATGCTCAACAAGTGGTATCAGAGCTCGGGCTACGCTTGGACTATTTGGAGAAGTAGACCGTTTTGGAGGCTCACCTAGGGCTTCGTTTGGTGATAAAAGTGGGATCTTTTTGATAAAGACTATCTTTTTTAGTTTTGGATCTATTCTTCATTTGTTCCGTATTTGTTCTGCATTTGTTTTGATGCTTTAAGAAAGATGATCGGGAAAAAAAGAGTTGTGGAGGATACTTCTAACGTGAAGACCGTCCAAAGTTTGAATATCCACTCTATGAAGATAGATGTGGAGAAGTTTATGGCACAAATAATTTTGGTATTTGGAGATGTGAAGTCTTTGATGTGCTCAATGCGCAAAATTTAAAAGATACTTTTGAGTTGGACGGGAAACCGGACGACATTAAGGAGAAGGTTTGAAAAAAGATGAATAGAATAACGTGTGGTATGATTAGATCTTGTTTGACTTAAGATTTAAAATATGATGTGATCAATGAGACTTCGGCTAAGAAGATTTGGGAGATCCTACAGGGCAAGTATTTGACCAAGAGTGTAAAGAACCGTTTCGATAAGAGGATGATTTATCGTTTCCAATTGAAGAAGGGGACCTCCATTGGTGATCACATGAATCACTACACGAAGCTTCTTGCAGATTTGGCGAATGTAGATGTGATGATTGAAGATGAGGATAATGCATTGTTGTTGTTAAGTTCCTTTCCTGATGAGGAATATGAGCCTTTCGTTCTTACTCTTATTAATGGGAATGCATCTCTTTCTTATAGTGAGGTCACCGCTGTACTTGTGAATTATCAGCTTCGAAAGAAGGATAAGGAGACTTCAGTTAAGCCGGTAGCGGGGCATTAGTCGTAAGAGCAAAGAGTTCAAACCATGATAGAAGGTCGCAGTCTAGAGGGGCACATCTTGGAGTTCGTAGGAATCAGTGTGCCTTTTGTTAAGAGGATGAATATTGGAACGCCGAATGCCCAAAGTTGGTTGATCGAGCCGGGAAGAATAAGGGAAAAGTTATTCAAGCTTCAGAGCTGAATGTTGTCAAAGCTAGTGGTAATAATTCAGATTTGGATTCTTCGGGCTACTCGTTATCTGCACTACCGTCGGTTTGTGTTGCCGACTCTACAGAGTGGATGTTGGATTCGGGTGCTTCTTATCATATTTATCCTAGGAGGGATTGGTTCTCCAGCTTTCAGGAGTTGGAAAGAGGGGAGATCGTGCTCATGGGTAATGATTATGAATGTCCTATTAGTGGTATCAGTACCGTTCGGATTAGGATGAGTGATGGAGTGATTCGGAAGTTGGTTAGAGTGAGGTTCGTTCCTCGGTTGAAGAAGAATATCATTTCACTTGGAGTTTTGGAGGCAGCAGGCTACAGGGTGACCTTGGTCGATTCACGTTTGAAGGTCACATTGGGGTCCATGATTGTGATGAAGGGCGTCAAGACAAATAATTTGTATTATTTAATTGGGAGCACGGTGTTTGATAGAGAGCTGACGACTTCTTTGGATTTGGCTAGACTGTGGTATTTATTAAGGCTGGGTTATTTGATTGGTTATGTCGTGCATGATTTATTGAGGAGTGCTTTGACCTGCAGATTAAAATCCTTTGAGCATATTGGTATGAGAAAGAAGACCGAGGTGAAGTTTGACACTTCTATCTATCGATCGAAGGGTCTTTTAGGTAGTGTTCAGTCAGGTATTTGGGGGCCTTCCAAGGAGGCATCATTGTGAGGTAATCGGTATTTGGTTTTCACAGTTGGGGATTGTTCTAGGTATTGGTGGGTTTTAACCAGGTCCTGTTGGTGTGAATTCCTAGAAGTCAATAATAATTGGAAAAAGTGTATTGGTAGAAAGGTAACCCGTCTTTCTGGCTTTGGTATGGGTTCTTTCTTGCATTTGTGCCGAGCTCATGGCAGTTTGAGACACTTCATTGATGTGGAGACATTGGGGCAACGAGATGAGATGATAGTTTTGATGGGTCGTTTCTTACTGGAGGGGATCGACGTTGGTTGTCGAGCATTTGTTTTCGTTTTGGAGCTTTGACATATTTGGGTCATCTTGGTCATAGGTTACCGACTGTTGCGTGTGAAGATTTTGGATCTGGTGGAGCTGCTTTAGATTTTAGGTTGCGTTGGATATTTAGTTGCCCAGCATTTGGTCACATTGAGGATGTGAGATTTGATCTGATTGCATGTTTGGGATTCAGTGGTTCGTTTGAGTATCAGTTAAGAGCTTCTGATTTTGTTCTGAGCAGGTATGTCACATTTGACTCTCTATAGGTGGAGAGTATTGATCAGATCATTGAGATATTACAGCGGGTAGAGGATGATGCTACTTCACATTGGGTGAAGATTACTCCACATACTCCAGATCATACTGCATTATTTGGGATTCTAGCTGAGGTGACACAGTTTGGAGATCATTTGGATTTGGATGCAGATGATGAGTTGGTTTTGGATTCGAGTGCAGCTGGTGGACATGTTTTGGATACGGCTATTGGTTCACCTCAGGTGGAGATGTTTGATTTGTTTCAGTTTGGGGCCATTAGGAGCGCTATCAGTTGCAGATCCGTTGGTGATATTGGTGAAGAGTTGTAAACTTTTCTATTTGATTAAGGGCCTTTGGAGGTCGTTTGGGTGAACTACGTGAAAGCTTGATTCCTTAGGCAAGAGGATACGTAGGCATTCATTTATAATACAGTCGGTTTGGTGAGTTGATACCGACATTTAGAGTTTGTTCGCATTCTCGTTTGGGTTCTTAACTTGTTATGGATTGAGTCCGTTGTCGTGGATTTGTTCCACTTCGTACTGGACGTAACAAGTGAGACGTTTGGTTGGTATTGGGGTCGGTTCAGTTTTGGGAAAACTTCGCCGATGTGGAGAATTGTTGGATAGCAGGTTCCTAATATGTTTTCTAATTTATTTTGGTAACAGGTTATTAGGATTCCTAATCTGTTTTGGTAACATGATTCCAAATCTGTTTTGGTAACATGTTATTAGGATTCCTAATCTGTTTTATTTTTTATTTTAGAATTCCTAGTATGTTTATGATTTTAGGATTTCTATATATATGGAACAATTGAGAGAGAGAATTGAGAAGAAAATTGGGGATATTTGGAGCACAGAAAAGAGGTATTTTCTGAGCTATTGGTTAAGGTTTTGTTTGGAGAGAATTAGAGATTTGTTGGTGAGATTAATTGATGAGTTTGAGTGATTTGTAATATCAGTTTGTACTTTTCTTCTCTATCTAATACTATTATAATAGTGTGTTGATATGTTAAAACATTTCTTCCAAAAATGCCCTTTAAAACACATACATGCATACATAAAACACATGCATCCATACATAAACCATACCTCATACATACATAACCCCCAATTAAATGCATTATTATTCATAACCCCTAAAATAATTTCATCATGTCTAAGTTGTTTATATTTTTATAACCTTCCATTAACATATTAGTCTCTTATAATTCTCACTAATTATCACTATCATAATTAAAAAAACGTTACAATCATTCATCTTCTTATTAAACCACTATAAATCATAACAAATCTCTTACAGAAATGAATACATCATATGCAACGCTCATCATCTACATTGCACCTCCTCAAATCCTGAACGTCTCTTTGTCCCGATTTTGCCTATTTGGATTTCATTCTTTGCACAACCAATCACTACTTACTATCTCTTATTATAACATGATGAGATTAACATGATTTATAGTGAAAGATTCTTTCTCTATCTTTTATAACCTCCCAATAATAAATCAATCTCCTACTCTCTCTTTCTTAATTCTCACTAATGATCACTACCATAATCATAGAGAATGTTTTAACTGATTTCTTACCATTAGAATTTCTCTTTGCTTGATTTGGCTTATTATAATTTATGTCTTTATTGGTCAATCAAGATTTTTAAAGTTTGTATTTAATTTTTGTTTTGAGAACCATAAAACCCAATCAAGTATGAAATTCATGATTTAAAAAATATGTTTTACCTAAAATATTTTATTTAAAGTAATAAAATACATAATTTATTTTAAAGTTATAGTTGTAATGTGCTATCAAAACTTAAGATGATGCAAATGAGTAAAAAGAGTTGGACGTAATAATAATAATAATAATATCTCACTTATAACCTCTT